CCGGTGCGTGAGGATTGTCCCGCCATTTTTCTGGATTTTTTCGGATTTATTACGAATTGTAGATCTTTTTAAAAATTTTATTTTTTATTTTTATTTTTATTTTTTTTTTATGTGGAAGATGATGTTGAGTGAAGATGATGTTGAATGTCCAATGAGGGAGGGGGTGGGGTGGGGGTGCGTTTTTACAAATTTCAGATTTTTTTTTTTAAAGAAAAGGGCAAATGTGTCAATTGGGGGTGCTGTATTTAGCAAAATAGGTGCGGTATTTAGCAACACCCATTGTAATTTGATATGTAGAAGCTACAACCCAGAATCAATCAATATCAATATCAACATCAATTCAATATTTATATCTATATCTATATATATAGAAAGAGGTGGTTGAAAAAATACATTAATAGAAAGTTTGACTTTTTAATTAATTTCTTTGACTTATTAATTTAGGAAAATTTGTTAAAAAACACGTGCAATATTGAGTTAGAAAAATGAAATTTTTGAAAGCAATATTCGAATCGATTTATTAACAACAAAATGGGAAAGATAATGTTGAATTATGGAGGAGGATAATTTCAAATAGATCCTTTCCGAATTAATAGGTCACATATTAGATATACCAAAATATCTACTTTGTATAGTTATTTAAATGCATAATTGTAGAAGATCAAAATATATCAATGTGGATGTAATATCAAGCCATATGAAACAATTTCGTAATTTAAACATTCTTGGTATGTATTACTCTTGAAAATTAGAAAGATATTTGAAAAAATTATTGTTAATAATATTTAAAATTTGTAATTTAAGTCTAGAGAGTTAGTTGATAAATTTGAACGATAAGGTAATCAACAACAAATGTAGAAAATTTCGAGATTAATAAAATACAGATATATATATATATATATATAATCTATAAACGGATTTATCATGTAATCCAAATTTGTGTTTCAAATTTAAAATGCAAATAATAATTATTCATAACTTACTGGCCAATATTAACTTAGACGTAAATAGAATAGTCAATCATTTATAGTTTAATAAATTACTCAACTAATTAAACATTTTGATTTGGATAGTTTATACAAAAATATAATTATTTTAATTAATGAAACAACTTAAATTTTAATATTATACTTATTGACATAGATTTTTAAATGTATGATAAAATTTTACCAAAATAATTATTTTATGGAACCACATTGTATTCAAATCGAATTTCTGAATAAAAATTTAATATGACAATTATTTTGAAATGAATATAATATAATTTATTATCAGTTATGTGCAACGTATGAGTTGTGTACTAATTTTAAATTGACATGTTTTTATAATCTTGCACAATTTAAATTTCATATAACATTTTAAATAAATTAATATAGGCAAATTGTATTACATTTTATTCCATATCTTTAATTTATAAATATTATTTAATGAGGTTTTTTAATTTACAAATATTAAAATATCTCTTACCCGTGCATCGCATGAGATTCGTACTAGTATATATAAAGAGCCAACCTATATACCAAAAATAGTAAGAAGAAAAGTCAATCAACATTTAATGCATGTCATTTTGGAATTTTTTTCCTTATTATACAACCAGCATTAAATGCAGCCAAAAATTGTGAGTTTTGTTTAATCCGATTGCATACAACTCCAAAATCACGTCTCTTATTTCATTTCAAAAAATCTGGTTGCATTTTTTATTCTAAATAATCCGAGTGCAACAACTTCAAAATTCCGTCTCTTATTTTATTCCGAAAAATCTGAAATTTCAATCTATTCGAATCCTTATTTTTTGGTAACCAAATTGATTAATTTAGATGACACGTGTATTATTAGATATTTAAATAATTTGTGCTTGATTATAGAATTATTATTTTTTTTATAAAGTACGATTTTATTCTTTTTTTCTAATATACTAAAAGAATCCTAACAAATACAAATCAATTTTGTTTGGTTATTGAGAATCCTATGACATCTATATCTTCTAATATTATTTACAATTGTTAACAATTAAAATAAACAATGAGAATCCGATTAAAAATTGACGGATATTCACATAAAACGAAACATATGTGTATAACTATTATTCTCCCTACAAAATATACAAGATAATTTTATATTGTTTACAACTGATATAAGATAAAATTATATCATATATTAACTCTACAATATTGTTTACCTTATCTTTAATTTATAATTATTAATTAATATTATTTGTCTACATCTTTAATTTATAATTATTATTAATATTGTTTACTCGTGCATCGCACGGGCTACGTACTAGTTATTAAAATGGAGAAACATGTCCAATAAATCCCACTTTCCTACCAAAAACACGCTTTGCTCATAATATTTTTCAAGAAAAAAAAAATAAAAATAAAGATATACATATTGTTTAACCTTTGTCCCCCACTAATGAATTAATCCTACTCAAGTTTTCAATAAAATCAAACCAATCAAGAACCATAATTTTCATACAAAACTAGGGCAAACGAACCGAGCAGCTCGCGAACGCTCGAGTCAAAATTGGGCTCGAGCTCGAGTTTGACCGAACTCGAGCCAAACTTGCTTTGGTCGAGCGTGTTGTCGAGACGATCTCGAGCATAGGTTTGGAAGGTCGAGTGGCTCGCAAACGGCTCGAAATATATAGTGAATTACTAAAATATCCATTATGTATAAATATTACAATATTTTATGTATGCACTTAATGATAATTTTACTTAAAATTCGAGTCAAACTCGAACCGAGCTCGAGCATTTTGATTTCAATCGATCTCGAGTTGAGCTCGAGCACTTGTTTTCTTTTGTCGAGTCGATCTCGAGCGTCATAAATCGAGCTCGAGCAAGTAAAAAAAGAAATCAATGTTGCTCAACAAGGCCAATACTCGACATGGCTCGGCTCATTTGCAGCCCTATACAAAACATCATTATTCAAATATGTAACCAATCAGTACTCTCAAAACCCTACAGAATGTTCTAAACAATGCCCTCAGAAAACAAATTATTGACTCTACAATTTCTAACAGAATCTCCAAAGTCCAAACTTTAATAAATCCCCTCATTATGTATTGTAATACAACTTTAATCCACTTTCATGCAATCACCTGGAAACTCACTTCACCAAACAAAATACACTCACACACGCACACATTACACATATATAAACCTAAGTATACTCTCAAAGTCCCAAACAAACACAAGCTATATTCACTAGTTAGTACTTTACAAAAAGATTGTTTTTTCTTTTCCATTTTTGCTGAACATGAAAAAACAGAGCTGGAACCCAAGTGCAAGCCCAAACTACATAGGAGTCCGCAAGCGAAAATGGGGCCGGTGGGTGTCCGAAATACGCGAGCCCGGGAGAAAGTCGAGGATTTGGTTGGGAAGTTTCGACACGGCCGAGATGGCGGCTGCAGCCTACGATGCAGCCGCATTCCACCTCAAGGGCTCCCGGGCCCGGCTCAATTTCCCGGGCCTGGCCAATCGCCTCCCCAGGCCCGCTGGGAATGGGCCTGAAGATATCCGCCAGGCAGCCCAACAGGCGGCCGAGCAGCTTGTTGTCGGACAACAGAGCCGCTCATGTGGCGCTGACAGTAATTGTTTGCCGACGAGGGTCGAGCTTTCCCCGGCCGATATCCGAGCCATAAACGAGTCACCTCTTGACTCGCCGTGCGCATGGATGGAGTTGGCGGGCTCGTCTGTCAGGGCCGGGGAGCCTGGGATTGAGAGGGAAGAGGATTGTGATGAAATGGAATCTTCTTATTCCATATGGGATTGATACTTATAGATACACACACACATACATATACATACATACATACATACATATACATAGTTAATGATTTTTTCATATATATTTTTGAGATATTGTTTGGGTATTACTAATATACAGGGCATTTGGGCAGGGGAAAGTTCATTTTAAGGACGCATTGGTCAAGGCCCTTCATTAATATTTGATTGTGGAAATTATTTCTTGTATCTTGTAACATAACAAAAGCTGATTAAGTATATTTATGTTCTATGCATTTTCTTGAGACTCAGGCTTCTTGTGAGGGCAAATTGAAATCCAAGGCAACTACTAATATTATTTGGTTGTTAGTTTTCTTTTTCTATTATTTTAAAACTCAATACTGTTTTGTTCGTTGGTTGTGCAATGAAACTTGTGAATAAATAACAATATATATATATATATGTATATATATATGTATATAAATAACAATATATATTTACAATATATAAACTTGTGAATAAATAACAATAATAGCACAATGTAATATTAAAAATAGCATCATGTATAATTAAAAATAGGATCAAATACGGTTCTCACGGTTCTCACACCAGAACTAATTTTTATTTGAACCAATCCCTATATATATATTCTCAGATTATAAGGGAAACATAATTGCAAAATAACAGTTGACTAAACAACTGTCTAGTGTCTACAGAGTTTGTCTAGAAGGTTAATGAACAGATAGAGACAAAAACGCGGAACTCAGAAAGTGGCTTGGTTATTGGAAAAGAACAGAATATGTGAACGTTCCAACATTTCAAACCACATATTTTTTAGTTGAATCAACAAATAACTGTATAAATATGTGCATGCGTTCCTAATATTTTTCATTGCTATTTTCCCATTGGAGGAAAAAGGAGAATAATAAAAGGTGGGCACCTAAATCCCAACGGAATGTTCTAGACACTGTCCATCTCATCAGATTCTCCAAAGATATCCCATGATGTTCATAGACTTGCTAACAAACATAACGAACTCGGGAACACACGTGGCGCTCCTTGCAAAATCACAAAATTCCAAAGAGGTCCCCCCACCCCCCTTCTTTGTACTGTATTACAAGTTATTACAGTAAAACATAAATGAACATGCTTTCGATATTATTACAGCAAACCGGCGATCATTCACCTAAACATCTGATAAAATCCTAACTGGAAGTTTATTTGCATTATTGAGTCATCAAACACTATCCAACTGAACCCAAGTTCTTCCCTCAACCCCAGTCCTTCATCTTTGTCCTAATTGAATTAGCTTTGTCCCAAAGCCGCGCGAGGAATATACATTTGAGAGCAAAACATAATGGCAGCCAACATTTGCTTCTAAAAGTAGCAGATTATAGGCTAAAATTTCTCATAGCCCTACATTTTGGTGCATGTGCCTAGCAAACTACTCCACCAACCCAATCCTATGAAGCACATGGAGCATGGAATTTATGATTACCAAAACTATTACACCAGCATATGAAATTTTCTACTTGCTTACGAAAAATCTTCAACTTTGTTCACAGAGATGAGAGTGGGACTTTGGCGTATTCTCAGGTCTCAAGGGATCCTAAAATGTACGAGATAGCATTGGACATAGCAGAGACTAGGGAGTAAAGCCTTGCGGGTAAACCAGATGTAACTAATGCATATAGCCAGCTAATTCGCTAGTGCATATAAACAAGCTCACTAGACAAAACATTGTCTTTCAATGAAATATATCTACCCAGTGCACAGAAATTGAACAAAATAGCAAAGTCGTCAAACTATAAATTCAGTAGAATTTAATTTTGCATTGGACATCAGATCCAATGAAGCGCAAGTTACTTAAAAAAACAAACAAGCAAACAGAGACTCGCGAACCTGCAGGCTGTCTAACCCCAGACTTGCGCAGCAGCTTACTAAGCGCCTCGGGGGAGCACACCTGATACTTCACCTTCCCATTACACACAAATACCTCAGCAAGCTCAAACTTCTCGGACGTGAGGCTCGTGCTATCCATTGTCTTGCTAAGCACCTTCAGAGCAAGCTCAATCGCTTCCTCTCTCGTGATCTCATCCTTATTGTCCTGCTTCAGCATTGACTGAGCCGCTTGATTATTTGCCCCGATAGCAGCAGCCTTCCAGCCGCTGTAGTTCCCACTCGGGTCGCTCATGTACAGCTGGAACCCGTAGTCTTTGGCCCACCCTGCAAATAGAAACGAGACGCCAAACGGGCGAAGCCCACCAAACTGGGTGTACCCTTGCTTGGTGTCACACGGGGATTGGACCAGCTGCTCGACTGGCATGGGCTCCTGGTAGGCCAACGTGTAGCGCTGGGCCTGGACTCGGGCTGTGTTGATGAGTATGTTTGCATCAGACATGATCCCAGCCACGGCACAAGCCACGTGATCGTCGATTTTGTACATTTTCTCGGGGGATGCAGAGGTTTGGAGGAGCTTGGAGGTCACTTTCTTCTCGCCGATCAAGATAACCCCGTCTTTGGACAGTAAGCCTATGGCACTTCCTGCATTGCCAATAGCCTCCATTGCATACTCGACTTGGTATGGTCGTGCGGCTGTCATACCTTCGAGACATGTCGAGTTCTACACACACATACAATATAAAAAATAAAAAAAAATAGCTTGGATGACTGAGTTTGAGGCCCAAGTAAATTAATGAATAATGCATAGCATGATTATGCACAGAAATTTCCCAGAATATCGAGAATGCGTATGAGGTTAAACTGAGGAATTCAATTCTGTGGAAATTGCTCGGGCACAAATTTACTCCAACAATAAGATTAAGATCTTTGTAACATATCCTATCTTAGAGAAATCAGGATCTGCCAGCTCCAACTGATAGCAGGTACAGCTAAAAATCGGCATAAATCTCCTCCAAAAAATTAAATTAAACAAAGTGAGAGTAAAAAAGAATTCGCAATAGCAGTTACAAACATGTCCAACACCATTCCTTCCGAAAACTTGTGGAAACGTAATGACATTTTTCGACTACTGAATAAATGAGGAAAGAGTAAAAAGGAATTAGCAAAAACCAGAGGACGCACCTCAGAAGCGGCGTGGGTTGGGGAGGAAAGAACACAGATGCTTTTGGAGCTGGGAATGTTGCTGGGCCCTCCATTTCGAGTAATTGGACTATAACAGGCCTGATAATAATTTGACCAACAGGCCCGATAATTTAATTGGGCTACATTTCAAATAATTGGGTTCTACAGTATCAAAAATAAGAATCAGACAATGTAACAAACGTATATTGTATTATTTATAAAATAAAATTTAATGTTATATTTAATCGGGAGATGATACTTTCTTTAATCAGTTAGTTATGTTTAAATTAATATTGCACATATATGGAGCAGCATCATTTATAGTTAGCATACGGTTTTGTGCTTATTATTAGGCTGTCTGTATTAGATTTTTGCTTATAATAATTAAGGGGTTTTGATTAACAAAATCTGTCACGGTTTTCACTAAAGCGTAGATCTTGAGGGTGCGTAATATGAATATCCCAAACAATTTTTCTGTAAATTCAATAGTTGACTTCACTATGAAGCCAACAGTCAACTATTGGCTTCATAGCAAAATTGATATCTCCAAATTCGTACATATTGTATGTTATCTTTGTGATTAGTTAATAATTAATCCAGACATTATGCAAATTAATTTAGTTGTTACTCTGCATATTTAGTGGCACACAATACATCATTAGTTAGCTCCATTCATAATTATGCTTATTATATCTTAATTAATCCAGTCGTTGCCTTGCGCTTGCAATAAATAATATAATGGAAGACAATATATTTAACTGTTAAATCCACCCAAAGGACAAGTCAAAGCTCATTAAACCACTCGAAGTAAATTAGTTACATATAAAATACGTGCCTAAAATAAGCTAATTAAACATATAATAGGAATTAACTAGGATATATTATATACACAAAGCAGTAAATAGAGAAAACTGTGATCAAATCAAATATTCAAATTCAAATCATACATAACTTGAGGGATAATCACAAGGTCTTAATCCTTTGGCATTGAAAACGTGGGTTTAATAATTAGTACTACAAGTTTTTAAGAATTAAACCAAGGTAATTAGTGCCGTAATTAGTCTGGTCTGTTGTTGTCTTGATCTTGCGGTTGTTTGAAGAAAATGGTGTGCGAGTGGTCAACAATGTCCTTCACCGTGCCTCGGAACTCACTCTGCATCTGTATAAATTAATCATCAACATCAACTCATTCATGCGCAAAAAAATATGAAATTCTAAGTCATTAGTTTGCAGCTTTATGTAATGGCAACACATGATAAAGGCTCAGCTCGTTTGATAAACGAGTCGATTTTCAGCTTGTTTAGTTAAAGAATCGAGTTCGCTGGAGAATATGAGTTTTTCACGTAAATATTTGAATTTTTACCACAAGCTCAAACTGGATTTGCTAATTCTAATAAATGAGCCGAGACGAGCTCGAGCTTCTGATACTCGATGAAGAGAAAAATTTAGTTAAATTGAGAAATAGAAAATACCTCAGCAAGAAGAGTAATATCAAGAGATTGGTCTCCAAAGGGCAAGATTCTCATGTCAACCATATTTAGATAAAGCTTCTCCATCTGACTTGGGACTCTAGACATCAATCCATTTTGCTTCTTGCAGTGAACTTTTATGAGGACATGTTTGCCCAATATTCGGGCTTTGATTTCTGCAGGGCCCGATTCACTAATCGTGCTCTGTTTGCAGTTGCCACTATTTGAAGAAATATAATCATATTCTCCAGTGGAGCTTCTCTTGCTCGTAATTCCTTCCTCGAGGGCGCTCACTCGATCTTGAAGGGCTTTCAGGTAATCGATGGCATCTTCGAGTAGAGATGCCTTATCCAGCTGGCATCACAAATTTAACCAAGAAACGGTTAAATTAATTTCTTATTATTACGAATTCGAAATCCAACGGCTTAACTAACCTTCCTGAGGCCCGGCACAACTTTGGAAAGATTAATGAAAAGTTGGCCGAGATTCTGACGGCGTTTTTTCTCAGCCAAACGATGATCGCGAGCTTGCCACACAGTCCGGCTGGCAGCCCTCTTTTGGCTTAATGTTCCATCTTCATAATTATCGTCACAATCTTCTGTTGAGAGGATATTGGTGCTCTCGAAAGAAATTATTTTGGGGGTAGCCGTAGCTAATGAAGATGAAGATGAAGTTAAAGGGTCTGCAGTGTGATGTGTTGTATCTGAAAAATATTCCCAGCTATTAACAATGTTGCTTGCATGGTTTTGATGATCTTGGGGTCGACAGGAAGTCGAGTAGATCTCGGGTAGAATGGCCTTGAGATCATCAAGCATCTCCTCAAAGTTTTCTTCCGTTTCCATATGTGATATAAAGAGCTGAAAGAAGAAAACCAGATTCATAAAAATGAATTATTGGAAGTAAAGAATTAGTTGGCTATTTGGATTTGAGAGAGAGAGAGATCTATGATTTGAGGCTGTTACAAATTTGAAAGCTTTTGTGTTGTTTTAATTTTCTTCAAACAATATAGACACTGATAAAATGGACAATCAATTCTCAATTCATTAATATACACACATATATGCACATTACAACAGCAAAAGAAAAGATTTTCAAGAAAATTAATCACCAACCACACAAAAGATAAAAAGAGTGTTATTTTATCCAAAACTTCAAACAAAATTGTCAAAGATAAAAAGAATAGTAACAAAAAGATCAACAAAATTAGTGAAACAAAGAGAGACACAATGGATTTTACCTTGTAAGGTAGCAGTTTCTTTCTGTTGTCTTGTGGGAAATGAGGAGTTTATACCTGTCTGCAGATTTGAATTAAGAAAATGGCCAAAAAGATTGGTCTTATAGACTAATGTGGTGTGAACTAATAAATTAAAATTTGAAAGTAGATGTTTGGTTTCAGCTAATGAAAGAGGTTAGCAAAGACGAGGTCTTATTGGTGTGTACAAGCAGACTTAAGAAAAACTCATTATTTATTCCCACTGTACAAATGGGGGCGAATTATATATAGTGTAATATTTTATTTTATTTTATATTATTTTTTTGACGTATTGTGTATATGTTATTTTTTCTTGCTATGATAATATGGAGGTCAAATGTATTCTACAATGATGATTGATGCTCCAATCATGATTTCTTGTACACAATGAGAAGGAGATGACATTTTATATTGGTAATCCCAAGCAGTTTTCTTAAAGAGAAAATATATATATATAAAAAAAAAAAAAAAANATATTTTTATACTTATTAGTGTATTGATGGATGATAGCAAGACAAATCATATCAGGTTTTCATTTGAGAAAGAACCTTGTAAATTATTGTTGTTGATATCAAATAAATAAATGAACGTGACAGGCTATAGAAAAATTGTTACTGTAACATAGTATAACATAATATTTCTTAGATGGGACGCTAAAAGACAGATCGCAGAGGATCCGCTCACTCCAATAAAATACATATTAAAGTTTATACATAACGTTGATCTTTTGTGCAATTTGGTGAAATAGCCTTTTTGTATGATATATTTGGGAGCTGTATGCATACATAAGATATTCTTAGATAGATTCTGTTTTGTGCATATTCAGCTGGAAATATCAATTGGGGACAACCTAATATCCTCCAATTTGTCTTTTTTGCTCATTTAACTACCAACCTTTTTAAAAAGGGAAAACAAACTGGAAACTGGAATGTCCATGAAAATACAAAGACACAGCAGCAATAAAAAATTATTTCTGGTAAAAGAAATGCTCGGTAAAAATCGGGTCTTTACCCTCCTAATTCCCATTCATAGCCTGCAAGGCATTTCGAGCATCCAGCATATCTGACAAAACCAAATCCTTTAGAACGTTGGGTCCTGGGATCTTTCACCACCCTTACTGCAGCAGCAAATACAATGCTTAAACAAATTAAAATGACAAAAAATAAACATCAAATTGAAAGCTATCATCTTTACTTTCCTCAACAATACCAAAAAGCGAAAACAACCTCTCCAATTCTCTAGTTGTGGTGTAAAATGATAAACCTAATCAGCCAAATGCCAGGTTATTTTGTCGATTCTCAAAGGATTTAACATAGACATCGAAATAGATTACCCAAAAATATTTGTTGTTTTTCTTTTATTTCTTAATTATTGCAGAGTGATAACTGCAAAGAGTTGTATTCTGGTTATTTGATCTCAAATTCAAACCTCTATCAGACCAAGTTTGCTCGTGCTCAAATTAGCGAGAACTGAGTACCAAACTATAACAATTACATAAAAATCCCCATTTTAACCGACAAGCTCAAGTTTGACTCGTCTAGCTAAACAAAACTTGAACCGAACCAAGCTCACAAACATATATTTTCAAGTACATGGAACCCACTACATTCATTTACAATCATATTTTATTTGCCTCTTTATCTTTTCAAAGAACACTACATGTTCGTGAACCCTGCGCAAGCGCACTCTGAGAGAGAGAGAGAGAGAGAGAGAGCTATACATGTTCGTGAACCCCTGCATTCATTTACAATCATATTTTATTTGCCTCTTTATCTTTTCAAAGAACACTACATGTTCGTGAACCCTGCGCAAGCGCACTCTGAGAGAGAGAGAGAGCTATACATGTTCGTGAACCCCTGCGCAAGCGCACTCTGAGAGATAGAGAGAGAGAGAGAGAGAATTGTAATTAAATGAAAGTTCAAGTTGAAGTGATTGATACAATCAGCCATTTGCCCTGGTCTCACAGGTCCTCCAGGTGCACGCCGTGGACAGATGGAAGTACTCAGAAAGACCTTCAATTACAAGTTCTAACTAAATAACAAGCCAAAATATCAAAATTCGATCTCTAAGAAGTAAAAACATTTTCCAAGGTCTCTACAGTCCGGGAAAATGATGGTCACAAAAAAGAAAACATACTGTATGCTACTCAAAATAGCAGCCCACTTTATCTCAGCCCATAATATCATCTCCTCAGAGACCACACCTCTTAACGACCATAAATCTGGCTAGCATCATACTGCTGTGCATACCCAGCCTGTGGCGAAACGCCTGCCGGTGCCTGGGCCGGCACATTTGCATATCCACCCGACTGATCATACCCAGTCTGGGCCTGGGCCTGGGCCTGGGCTGGCTGGGCATAGCCGCCTGCCTGGCCCACAGCATAACCAGCAGCTGGACCCTGGGGTGCGCCATATGTAGCTGGGTCCGGCTGCACCTGATGATACCCATAACCGGCAGCCACAGCAGCTGGTTGCTCGGAATAACCGCCAGGCTGAGGCACCGGGTACGAGCCGTAGCCTCCGGTTGGGCCCGCCTGAGAATATGCAGCGGGCGGTGGCTGCTGCTGCTGAGGCCCGGCTTGACCGTATGCGATGGGCTGCCCGTATCCGGACCCGGATTGCGCCATGGCGGGTGGGTGGCCATATCCTTCGCTGGGTGGTGCAGAGCCGTAAGGAGGAGGATAACTCTGTTGCGTGGATGGGTAAGGATAAGGTTGCTGAGGTGGCATGTTCTGACCGTATGGTTGGGCTGATGACGGGGCACCTTGATAAGGGGCTTCCACAGGCTGGTTGGGCCTGTAGGGTTGAGAATGAGGGACTTGTGGTGGCTGCTGCATGTTGTACATTGGTGGCTTACTGTGTTGGTCATATGGTGTTGGTTGAGGCCCATAATGCTGTTGGTTCCCGTATTTAGCCTCGTTGTATCCATGGCTGTATGGTTGGGGAGGAGGTGCCTGAGAGTATGAAGATGGATGTCCGTATTCTGGGCCCGCCTGCTGCCCGTAGTTGTAATTGCCCTGGAAAGGAAGGAATGCCACGAAAAAAGTTATATGATCAAAAGTCCAAAGAATAAACATATGACTAACGAGGAGTCGAGGCTCGATTTTTTCCGTTAACTTTCCCCCAATTTTTCAATAATCCCAAAGTACTATAGTTATTCAATTAAATTAAATCAAACAGCAAGGGGTTCTTGACAGAAATTTGAAAACTTTTATGGGTTCTTTCTTGCGATTACCCCTCCTAGATCTCGAGGGTCGTTTTTGCAATTACCTTTGTAAGTAAATAAATAAATATAAACAAAAAAAGATAATGAATATATGATCGACCTGGGGTGAGGGTCCATGCATTGATGCTGGTGGCCTTTGCTCCCAACTTGGTGGACCAAAGTTGCTCCTGGGAGGCTGTTGCGGAGGATAATTACCGTAAGATGAAGGTGGATACTGGGAGTTTTGAGAAGGATATGTCCCTCTCTGTGGATAATCATAACCAGAGTATTGTGCATGATGCGAACCACGAGGTCCCCATTGTGGAGCAGCGGGCCCACGTGGAGGACGACCCTGCTGGCTGTATCCACCAGATAGAGGTGAAGACCTCATGGTCTAAATAAAGAATGAGTTAGAACGAGTAGCTAGCTATAAAATAAGATGCGATAACAATATATAACTTCCGGAACAAACATTTAGGTACAAGCTGTAATAGCTCTTGAATTCACCGCTTAGCTTAAAACTATGAGCAGTGAAGGTTTACTGATAAAAAACAGTGTCACAAGCAAATTTTGGCAATGAAGTATTACCAACAAGCAGATGAGGCATGTAACTGCTGACCATTGAGATGATAAACAGCTCAGGAATAGCATTAATATATGAGAACAATAACAATTTAAAGAATCAAAACATACAATGCATAAAAACAAACTAACAGTTCCCATTCAACATTAAATAACAATTCACATTCACAATATCCAAATATGACCATAAACAGTAATAGGAAATGCAGCTAGAATAAAGCTACAGGATAAATTAAGAACTCAAGCAACAATTCAAAACATATGAAATAAAACCAAATAAGTTATAATGGGTTATAAGAGGCAAAAGATAAATGAAAAATTCGAGGCATTGCCAAACCACGACAGAAGTTTCACTATGAACATAAGGTCCAGACTAAACCTTCATTGCATATAAAAATTAAGCATTTGTTGATATAAATAGGACAACAACAAACAACAACAACAACATAAGCCTTTTTGTTGATATAAATAGGAATTCCCAAAAACCCCCATGCACTCTTATAATTCTTCAATGCGTTGCTGAACCTTCAAACAAGAAATAACATGATTCTCCAATAACAAGATCTTCAAGCAAACAATTCATTTCTGACAATGGTTATAGCGCTACACAGTACAGGATGTTCAGTGTCGCAAGTCAGAGGATAGCATTAGAGACAATAATTTTTTTAAACCATGTCAAATATCAAGATGCCGTCACCTTCCAGAAGGAACTCAATTAGAAGACAGTCAAGCAATTAGCGGAATTATTTGATTATGCAGACTCAATCTACTTCATGGAGATTATTTGACCACTAGGGGCACCATTTGGATATCTCAAATATTAATATCATGCCACATAGCCTCATTAGTAGCACTGCTATCAGTTTCTAAGTCTCAAAGTAATCTTACCAACCATTAACATCCTGCAATGATGAGGTTCAATGCTTGAAACCTCTCTTCTGATGATGCAAGTGATAGTGGTTGTCTATTGAGTATTGATACACCAAGAAGGCAATGCGAACTGGAAGGAAAAGGAAAAGCCAAATCTGCATTTTTTGAGTCAACCAATTCGAAATTGGCACCTTCAGGACACATAAATCACGGCAACTTATTTGGAATTAAGACCTTCCTAGCAGCACTTAAGTGACCTTGTCATAGGATTGAATAATAAATCCCTCAGTAATTGTGCCAACATTAAGAGATTTCTCATCACATGAAAGGCATCAGTTAGTTATATATAACACGAGGATCCAGTTAAACCATCCTATGATAATGTGATTGCTGGCCATTCATCAATCCAAGGGAAGAAAGTAAAATCCTTGCAGCCAATTATGCTACAGCTATACTAAAATCCTAATCAAATAAAATATATGTCAGAGAGGCATAATATCGAAACTTGACTGGTCCTAGCCTGAGAGGCACATACCAATATTCACTCATCTATCACAGCCAACTAATTGCATCAATAAAAAAATTATAGAACATGTAAGTCTCAGCCTTGGCCAAGATATTGTCCACAAGTGTTACAGTCCACCAATGATGGTATACATCTAAATATTGCAGAGCAACTCCACTTATCAGAAGTACATGAACCAGCATGCATCTCAAAGTACTTTATTACAGCTGCAATATCTGTGACATGCATCAAACTTCGGATGAGGTAAATGAAATAGTGCCATTACATATCTACGTGGATGTAATTTAACAGTCGTTTTAAAATCAGCAGGGAGTAAGGGAACTGGGAAGTGAAACTATTTGCACCTCAAAACTAACAGAATCAAGAGGGCATGTAACTTCATGAAAAACAAGTTAGCACATAAAAAGGAATAACAAGATTAACAAATAAAAACAATAAATGTTTATTACATGGCACCATTGTTCAATCAAGTGGAGACGGGAAAAAATGTAAGCAACAATGTCAAAATGCTTACTAAGAAAGAAGCACATCTAGACAAACCTGATTCATAACATCTTTGATCATTTCCCTAGCAGTATCAATCTGCCACTTATTTCCACTGAAGCGGACAGTCCTTTCCTTAGGTTGTTCTCCATCAGAAAGGTTTTGTTGTAACAACTAAACCCAAAAGAAAAAGGTGGACTTCATCCATCAGATTCAGCAAGCTATAGCATAAAAACAAACGTAAGCAACTTCAGTTACCTGAATACGTGCCCCTGATCTAGTCTGCAAGTTCCTAATTGTTTCTCCACCCTTCCCAATGATTAAACCAACCTAAAACAACACCAAATGTCATACCATCTTCCACAAGCAATGATATAATAAAATGACAGCAGAAGAGACGATGGATAAAACATACCTTTTCAATTGGTACTTGAATTTCAACTTGTTCACCACCGCTGGCAGCCTGCGCAGTGTTGAATCCACGAGCAACAAGAGAAGGCGACCCTCCAGCATTAGCCTAGAAAGACACTGTCAGATTCATTCATACTAGGGGCTGTAATAAATTCACAGAAGCCAAAAATTTGGCCAAACGGTGGGAAGAGAAGGAAAGAGATGTTGAAATAGAACGGGTCTGTAAGAAAGAATAACTGCAAATTATACAAAAACCCCACCTCAGCAATTACATCCTTTATCAACTTCTCAGCCTTGTTTATATCTTCTAATGTTCCAACTACTTCCACAGGTCTTGTGGTAGACCGTGGATCTGCATCAGCATCCCTCATAATCTGAATTTTGGCACCTGAATTGTCCTGCAGGGAACGAATAGTTTCCCCTGCTTTTCCAATGAGGACCCCAACCTAGAGACATAGAACAATTACAAGTTATAGCCCTTTCTAATATATATAAATTCCATATCATAACTCAAAAGTCAACTCAAGTTTCAACGACCATTCTCTTTGAAACTTCCACCTTATCTCAACATTGCACAAAATAGAAGCACATAGGAAAACAATATTACAAAAATGTATTTATCTTGCATCGATCAATGAAAGAGTGATGCAGCTGAAGAATATCTTCCACAAAATAACACAGTATAAATATGCCACAACAATTTGGGCACTGATTCTAAAAACAAAAAACTGATAGGAACAAAAGAGACCAAGAACTCGGTGAGCAAGAAAGAGAAGGCACAGGCCCACAGGAGAATCTTTGAACTTCAACACGACTCTTGACATTTTTAATGTCAAATAGATAGGAATTTTATTCTGAATTCTAAATTGCCTGTTACCATTCTTCAAAAGCCATTTCAAGGGCAATTATTATTATTATTTTTTAAATAAAAAAAGAACTGACATTAACTTAGATAATGCAAAGGTAAATAAAAAGAATAAAAGCATATGAATATGTCAAATTACTCAACCAATTTACCTTGTCATTTGGAACTTCCATCTTGCGAGACAGTATTTGCCTGCCCGAGCCAGACTGCCTTTCAGCAGAGTAAACGGGGACATCCCCCTCTCTAGGAAGTTCAGAAGGTTCATCATTTTCTGCATTTGGTTGTCCTAGTTCATCCAAACTGCTGAGCTCAGTTTTCTCATTCTCATGAGAAGTTGGTTCTTGAGTAACTGTCTCAAGAGTTTCAGGAGGTTCTTGATCAATAGGTTCTTTATGAGGTTCTTGATTCTCCACATGTTCAACATTAGCATCAGCAGACTCTGGCTGCACAGGTTCAATTTCATCCTTCTCAGGCTCATCTTTCTTCTCCTCCTCTTGGTGTCCATTACGTGACACTGCCAAGGGATTTATCAGTGTATCAATAGCAGACAAGTGAGAAATCTTCCAATCTCAAGTTTTCATAAATAAATCACATCACTAGATAAAATATAAGTACACCAACATTTCAGAAGATAGTAGATATATATGCAAAAAGGTACAGCAATGTTCAAATACGTCCAACTATACCCTTAAACTAAAATGCATGTATGGTGTATTAGATGAAAACTAATTTCTGATGCAATATGAGTAAGAGGCGAAGAAAGAGTCATATTGATTCACATTAAAAAATAAATTCACTCCACACAAATGTTACTTTGTATTTTGCAACATCATGCACTCACTTCACAATTTATACCATTTTACCACCTCAAAGAACTGTTTACCATTTCCTAAGAAACCCTAATCCAAAGTATTAAACTTGTACCATTTCATAGTGCACTCACTGCGCATTTCACCTCAAAGAATTGAATTCGTACTCACTTAGCCCAATGCACAAGTTTCAGAACAAAAACAAAAGATAAAAAAAAATGGCAGAAACATTGAGCATAAAGATAATCAGGTATATAAAGAAAAAATCACCTAGACCCTCTGCCTCGGCCCCGGTGACATTGTCTCCATTACTCTCCAAACGGGGTCGTTTAGACTCGGATTCATCTGCTTCCCCATTCTCCTCTTCCTCCTGCACCTCATTATTCAGCGTGTCAGGGTTCGCGTTGTTCTCGGACTCCGAGACTGGCTCTGTCACGTTGCTAAGCTCCAAATCACCAAGCTTCCTCTTGTGGCCGTCTGCGGCGGTGGAGTCGGAGGTGACAGTGGCAGCAGCTACAGCAGGACCATTTTCCGGCGACGCGATCACTTTCTCGTCAGCCATAGTTTTCTCCGGATCAGATGAGGACTGTTAATCCTAGGGTTTCAAGTGTGAGTCACTGCCTGAGTGAATTCTGAGGTTCACCCTTTTTCTTTTTGTTAGATCGATTTTTCTCTCTTTATCTGAGCATCTCTGGTTCAAATGTGTGTGTGATTTGGTGGGCCTGACCTTTTCAGTACGGGAATAGCATCAGTGAAAAATGGGCTTAGTCTACCACATTGGGGCCAACTAAGCTGCCCGACCCAGATAGCTTAACGGCCTGATAGTTAATTTCTTCGGATCCACAAATCTATACTTATACAATAAGAATTAACATTTATCCAAAATAGTATGTCAAATTATGGTCAATGTCGGATTTGCATTAAATATTTTCCAAAATCGGTAAGTTTTTTCTTTTTGACACTTCTCATTAATTATGTCATTTTCACACTTCTCATTAATTATGTCCTTTTCACACATCTAATTAAATCATTCCATATGAGCTTTTATCGTTAAAATGTATAGCAATCTATTATGACCTTATCCCATTGATATTTTCATGAAGCGTCCTTATCGCGTTCTATTTTTTGGTAACCACTCTATATAATAACCAGATATTTGGTTAATGATAGCACACGTCTTTATTTCAAGGAGCGGATATTCTTTGACCTTTAATTAATCTGAACTGATTGCCTTGACTTTTCAATTTTTAAAAATTCTTTTTTTAAAAACTTTTTTTTTATCGCACGTTGGTCTTTTCCTGAAGAAACCGTTTTTAGTCACGGTCAATTATATGTTGCTGCTTCGTGTGTAAATAATAGAAGGGGGTTGAAAATATTAGTTTGTGATAATGAGGAGTTGCCAAATAATCAAACTCATAATGTTGTGTACAAGGAGGTTTTTAATAATTTATGATTGTTACCAAACTTTTTATGATTCAACAATGTTCCTATGTATTTTAATGATTTTAATTTCGATCCTAATGCACGTGAGATTATATTATTCTTCCAAATTTTACATCATGTGCATCGTACGGGTTACGTACTAGTATTTAATAAATGAAAGAACGAAATTGGAAAGAAAATACAAAATAACATATTCAATAATTTCAATTCAAGAAATGGAAAATAACTTAGTTAGTTGTGTTGTCATATTTATTCGTGGACGCTAACTTAATTAATATTAGCTTATCGAGAAAATCACTACTTAAAATGTATATATTAGCTTATCTATAACATTTTATAGCTCATTTTTTGTTAGAGTGCATAAAATATGCAATCTAAACCACACACTAGATGTAGAAAGCAAAAGAGTTTTGTGAATGCTTTCGTGCATTGCTTAATTACGAGTTCCCACATCCAAATACCAAATGTAAAAGTAATACATTAACAAAGTCTTGAAACACATCCATTTTTCCAACAAACCCACATTCTAGGCCTGGGACCGGTTCGACTCCTAACGAATTTTTCAGAAACCAGAATTGGAACTGAACCGAAATAACCGGTTCGGTTATTACACATATATTCATAGGAACCAAAAAATAACCGAACTATGTTATACCGATTCGGTTCTTCCGGTTCTTCGAGTAACCGACTTATGAAAAAAAACCGGTATAATAATCGGTTTTGAGTTAATAACCGACCAAAAAATTGCAACTCATGTGCTAAATGTATCATGAAAAATCGAAAACCGAAATGAAAAATGAGAAACCGAATATTATACACCAAGAACCAGAACCGATTTATATATGTAAACATATAAAACATGTATATTTCATATATATAGTCGGTTTTTCGGTTAATACACAAACATTTGGAAAGGAACCGAGAACCTGAACCGGTTTGAGCAAAAAATAACCGGAACCAATTTTTTTTTTTTTAAATAGCCGAACCGAACCGGTTATTTTCGGTTCGGTCCGGTTCGGTTCTCTGGTTCTCGGGTATAAAATCCCACCCCTACCACATTCAACTAGAAACTGTAAAAACTAACACCAACTCGGACAAATTACATTAAGCATTAAATGTACTTTACATGAGAAAAAGAAACTAACCACACAACACAAGTCACACCAAAGCTAAATTCCAAGTAGATGGAATCATCTAAATTGGACAAATTACATTAAGCATTAAATGTACTTTACATGAGAAAATCAAACTAACCACACAACACAAGTCACACCAAAGCTAAATTCCAAGTAGATGGAATCATCTAAATTGGATGAGGGAGAGTTAAACACAAATCTAAAGCACTATCACTTTTTCTCGGGACTGAACAAGGAACATAATGAATTTGACCAATGACAAAGGTCTCTACATCTCGCGCACATGAAAGATACTAGGATTCTTGATGACAATATCATACATGTTAATGGAGCTGAATTTTGCAAAGTCCTTAGGCAAAGAAATAAGGTCGATGGATGAGTGCTTGTGGAATTGGAGAAGTTCAGGATCGCCACCAAAATACCTTTCCCAGCCTAAACCCTTCAGAATTTGCTCCAGAAAGAAGTAAGACGAGACAACTTGACCAGTCGGCAAGTGTACAAGAGCCTTCTTTTTCATGGGGCGTGCATGCTCCATCACCCCGCTATTCTTGAAAACCCACACACCGGACATCGTTTTCGATTATTATTGTAATATAATAAAATGTTGGTATGTGTGTGATGATAGGTTTTTTTTTTTTGTGAAAATGAAGCAATAAGTTTTATTCCACTTTTGTCAATGAGGGGAATGTATGGAAATGGGAAGTTTGAAGTGGGAAGGGTTATATATGAGAAAATGAAGAGCAAACCCTTTAAAGTTGCATGGAAAATATGTATTTTTAGGTTTTGTTGGGCCCTTGTAAGAACCTGGATATTGTGGGACCCCTCTCAATATTGACCCGTGAAATATATATGTGTTTTTCTACTCTTGAGCTGTCGGGTTGGGAATGGTGAGTGAATAAAAATGGGTTAAGAAGAAGAATCTACGGGTCCATTTTTCTCAGTTTAAAATCTTTATTGGAGAATCTGATGGGGAAGAAAGTATTCTTCTAACATTAGTAACATCACAAATTCTTTAGATCGGCTGATGATATCCATCATATTTTATGTGTCAAAAATATATATTTATATTATCGAATATCATATTTATATTAATATTATATTATCAAATATCATATTTATATTTGCATAATTTTTTAAAGCCATATTCACAATAATGTGTATATATATATATTGAGTAAATAAAATAAAGAAATTAAAAAATTAACCAACCAATGAAACCATGTTATAGTTCATGTTTCATTCAATCGGATAGCGTATGTACCATTGGCATCATTATGTAAAGGTGTCATCTATACTTATATTAAAGGGGGTACTATTTTACCAAATTAAGTAGCCAGAAAAGTCAACAGCATTTATTGCATTACTATTTCCATATTATATTATATAAAAGGATATTCTATTTACTACATTTATTATCCAGAAAAGTCAACTGCATTAAATGTCATTACTAATTTGGTATTATAATATTTTATTTATTTAATTGATTTATTTATTTGTTTTATTTTAAAAAGCTAAGTATAATAAAAAGATTTTAATAATAAAAAAATTAAATACCAAATAAAAATGTACACTTTGACTTATTTGATTATATTTGGTATTTGATTATACCAAATATATTCCTATTTAGTATATACATTAAATACTTACTAAAGTATTTATTTGTTTTATTTGTCAAAGTTAAGTATAGATTTGTTTATATTATCAAATCATAAAAAATATTAAATTCATATTGTAAAAAAAAAATTCATATAATTTTATAACAATTCTACTACACTATTTAAGAATATTCTTTTTTTATTATATAATAAAATAATAATTAAATATTACATGGTGAACAACAATAAGTAAAACTGTTACTTTCTCTTATATCAAGGGATAAATTTATATGCTAAAATTAAATTTTTATTAGTATAAATGTTTTAGTGAGATAATATATTAATTATTTTACAAGCTAGCCCTAACATGCTCATATTTAATGTTTTAAAAGATGTAGAAAAAAAACTTATAATAACTCTATTGTTTTTTAGACTTAAACGTTGATTAAAAGAGGTAAAAATTCCTAATTTTTTAGACTTAAACGTTGATTAACACCATAGATTGAGAGTTTATATTTAGTAAAATTCCTAATTGTAATAAAAAAATTAATTTTTGCTAAATTTTAGAATATCTTTAAATTCATTATAAAAAAAAAAGAAAAAAAACTACAATGAAAAAAATAAGTAAGCTATATATCGATTTGTTGTACTCATCAAATCACATTCACAATTTGGCTACAAGGAAATGAAACTCATTGATTAAAATATTATTTTGTCAGTAGTCTTAATGTACAAGAAACTTTAAGACTCCACTTGAATATTATAAAATTTTTATTGAACATCGTATAATTTCTTGCGTATTATAAACTTTTATTGAATATTGCATCTTATAATATAATATTCTCCAAATAAATATATCTCGCGGGTCATGTACTATATATATTCCGTACATTTTTCTTTATTCATGTATATAATTATAAGTCTGGATAAATAGCCTTAAAATTGTGTACCCCGTGCATCGCACGGGCTATGTACTAGTTCATTCCATAAAATGCAACATGAATTGAAATACAATTTTAGAACATGAAATCTTATCCATAAATATATCTTTTTTCTTTCAGACCCAAACCCAATGATACCATATATACTTGTTGTGACCACTTACATCACATGTCCTGCGCGTGAAGTCAATAAATAAGGACACATATTTCCTTTTCTTCACTAGTGCATGGATGGATAACAATATAAAGATCCTAACACTTTTTAATCGTTAAACAATCATATTTTCTCACAAAAAAATGCATACTTATACTATGAAATGAAATGTCATGCTTTTGTTAATTTAAAAAAGTACAGCATTTTGTGTGTGTAACTTGTATACATTTTGTTGGAAAAGTATGATTGTCTAACCATTAGGCATCATTCTCAAACGAAGAATTGAAGCAAATGCATGACCTCTGCAGATTTCACCCTAAAGGTCATTCCACCACACCGCAGCAAGAGAGCTCGTGTGGAATCCTATCCGAAGTGCACAATCCTATCCTATCCAAGTCCGAGTATATTGATGATAAGAACACAGTAAGAATCAAGAATAATGAGTACCAATAAAAAANNNAAAAATAGTGTAAAGTACCTTTCCAAGATATATATTACAGGACCACGACACTGGAGCAGCATTCAGCTTCAGTTGTGGATAATGATTAGTGTTGTTGCTCACATGTCATCACGTGGATAGTGCGGTGTAATGGTCCTTCCTCATCCGACTATTTACATTGGTTTGATACAATTGTGTATGATTCAGTAGCCAACTTCTGGGGACCAATCTTTCTCCAATCAATCATGACCTTCCTAGTGACTTGGGGATTATTATTATTATTATTATTATTATTATTATTATTTTGAGGTCGATTCTAGCCACACACAATTATATATCAAATACTATGTGATGCAAAATGAAATTTACTTACATATGGTATAAGACGTGCTTTAATTTGCAGCTGTTATTGTGTTAACTACTACTACTATGAGTTAGTCATAAAAGATTGAACGTCTATCTCCACCCTGAACAAAGGAACAAAAGCGGCTAATAACTCTTAATTAGGTTTCTTCTTTGCTTATTAACTAAAGCTATCACAATGGTATCTCAGAAATTTATATCAATAAAAGCACATTCCACATTAGCTTTACCCTAAAGAGTTTATAAGGCTTTGTTATTTGGTACGAGAATTAAAACCAGAATGTAGCGTCCATCTATGATGCTCTCCCCACCATCCCAAAACAAAAATTCATTGCAATAATGAGAAAAAAATCCGATTCTTTATTTGCTAAATTATCCAGCCCTCCTTGCTTATAACATAAACTATTATCCAGCAGTACACAAAATGCACATATTCTCTCATTTCACTGTCAACCCAATTGACATAATCTTTTCTCTTGTAAATGGGCCTTTTTAGTCGATTTCGTACTCATTACAAAATATTTTATTTGAACTTTGAAGTAAACTATCCTTAAGTACACAGGAAGTGTTGAGTTATTGCAATGCGTATATGTTTGAATAATGGCAAAGGGGAATATATAGCACGTAATACGTTTGAAATTTCAAAAGAATATATACCGTAAAGGCAATGTGCTTCCCCTCATAATTGTGTGTCACACAGTAGTCTGCTTGTGCTTTTCTTGTACACATTGCACATGGCGCAGTTAAATATTGATTAATTAATGGAACAATATTTGAATAGAATTGTTTCCTGGGGAAGCTTTCCGGAATCTATACTTATATAAAAAGAATTACTATTTACTAAATATAGCAAGCAAAACAAATTTCAAAATTTCTAAATAAGGAAGGGATAGAAGTTTAAATAAAATATGGTTGCTTTAACAAACTTATAGGGAAAGCAGAAAAAAAAAATAAAAAAAAAATCTTAAATTCAAATTTAATTGTTAACAATTTCCTAATAATTTTCAAGCAAATCTTTAATTCAAATTCAAATGTTAACAATTTCTTAATAACTTTCCTACAAAATTGCCCGCATAAATAATGATAGACATGAAATTTAGCAGTATTCAAAAGTTAATGAGTCATTCAAATTGTGGAGAATTTAAAATGGTACGAGTTTGCATCATTCATTTTAGTAAAAAAAAAAAAAAAAAAAAAAAAAAAAAAAACTTAAATGAATTTTATTAAAAAATTAACTTCATTTAATTAACTTGCACTAAATATAAATACCGTCCATGCAAAGAAAAAAATCACAATTATATTTCTACAATTTAAAAAAGAGTATGCTACAACATTGGATATTAATCCATACATCCATACATCGTAGGTACTCACTTAATAAATCTTCACTACATCATTTGTTGGAATAAAAAACTTAATAACGGAAAAAAAAAGTTGGGACTATGTTTACTTGAAAGACTATCAACACGTGTACAGATTTTTAAATTCATTTTCAAATTGAAACTTTAAATTCGTAGTCAAATTGAATTGAATAATATAATTTAATTAGAACTGTAGGAGTTTCTTGGGAAAAAAACTATCAAGCAATTTAAATTTATTTTCAAAAACAGATAAATACTGATTTCTAAAATTATGGGGATTGTTTACTTATAGATTATGACCACGTGTACAGATTTTAAAACCATCATGAAATTCAAATTGGAATAATATGATTTAATTAGAATTGTAGGAGTTTGTTAAGAACAAAAACTCTCTATGAGTTTGCATTGATTTTCAAAAACAAATAAATACAGATTTTTTTTATAAAGAAATCATTTATTCGTATTTCATTATAAATCTTAAAGATGTGTACTTTGTTGATACGTGTTTGAATAAAAATATTAATAACAACGAGATTTTAAAATCATTACATAAAATTAATAAATGAAGTATATGCAGCGTGGAATTGTTAAGCCTCCATTTATTTTATACATTTGAATAAAAATTTTAATAATGAGATTTTAAAATTATTATATAAAATTGATAAATGAAGCATATGCATAAAGCATATAGTTATTAAGCCTCCGTTTATTTTATACTCAAATTGATGATGAAATAATTTTCGTATCATCTCAATATTTATTTTATATATAATATGTAAATCTTCTCTCAATTTTAATATTTTAGACATAAATTTTTTTATGTTCTTTACATAAGGTAATTTTATATTGTTACAATAGACTATATACCATAAATTTTATCACATGTATCCCTACATCTTTAATTTATAATTATAGTTAATATTGTTTATCCTAATCTTTAATTTATAATTATTATTAGTATTATTATT